GCGACCTTGGGTGCTGCCCTGCAGGAGTTAGTGCCCTGCCGTCCATGGAATCCGTGAACGTGAACCTGTCTGCACCTTCTGCTGCTCATGGAGCAAAACCCCGACTGGTGTCGCAGAGCGCAGGAAATCATTGCCAAGAAAGAATCAAAGAGACGTTTCTGGTTCAGAAAACATACAGGGTGTCTCTCCCTTACACCTTCCAGCTCTGATGCACACACTACACCTCAGCAAGCCCAAGAACAGCCTGCTCTTTGGTGACATCTGTTATTTGCAGTTTCAACTAATTTGAACATCTTCAAATTCTTTTGTACTCATGTTAAGCCTTAAAACCACTGTGCTTGCCTAAACCCCAATTATTCTGTGAAACCCTGGAACTACAAATTGATGGGTACCACAAGCAGCTGCAGTAAATGTTCTGAGACCGCACTGTCTGGGCCGGGAGTCCACCTGCACATCACCGCTCTCTGATGCAATGACCATCTCAGTGAGCTTAATGCACCTGCTCACACGGACAGCTGGCAGATTCCAGGGGGCGGGGTGGGGGGGGACGACTGGACAGCGCCTCACAAATTGGTCTTGCCTTTTATGAACTAATTTTTAATGAAAGAGAATTTCCTTGGCACAGTATCATTGCCATGCAAGGTCACTTTGTGAAATAGAACAACCAGACTCAACTATGGAAAGTGTGCACACCTTGTAAAGGTTGTGATCATTACCACTGGACACTGGACAACTTGCATGGATGTTGCTGAGTGGGAACCTGCACCACTCTTTAGATGCTCACCAACAACACAACATAATTATTTTAAAAATCCAATTCCTGGTCTCTCCCCGTGTGGGAAAGAGTGATGAAAACTGGAGATGCTTGAAATCAACTGATTCAATGGAGGAATGTTCTGGAACCTGTGAGCATCAGTCACCTGCTCTGAACAAGATCACAGTAAAAAGGCCGGGAGAGAGCGGGAGAAAATGTGGAACAAAACTCAAAAATATAAAAAAAACCACACTTAAACAAACAATAAATAAGGGGGAATCTGATGCCGACCATGCAGACCCGGTCAGGAGGTCAAGACCCTGTGGGCCCAAGCGTTGTTGACCGTCCAAACCATAGGCTCTGAGGATCAGACTTTAGCCACCTAGTAGACATAGCAAACTGTCCCTCATCTGATTATTCAGTAATGCTTGTTAGTAATCTCATACATGAGCCCTGGATATCACAGACAAATGTAAAAACCTTCCCTAAAAGCCGAGACTGTAAATTCCAAAAAGGCAAGTTCCCCCCCCCCCCAAAAAAAAAAAGCTAAAGAGGATAGAGAGAAACACTGTTAACTGATGATATATGGCGGGGATAATAATCAATGTAATGAAACAAGCTATATGAATGGTTGAATGTGAAGCTGATGATGTGCCCTGTAAACTTTCACTCAATCCAAAATAAAAACATTTAAAAAAAAAAAAAAAGACCACACTTACTGACCAGGAGACCTGTGGTACCTGAAACTGTGGTCCTTGGTCCCCCTTCACCTGGACTTGAACTCAGCCTCATGGCTCAGTTTTCAGCCAAGCAGTAGCCAGACAGACAGAGAGCAATCGCACCAGTGAGGTATGAACATAGACCAGGGTTGGGGAACGTTTGGCCCGCGGGTCGTATAAGGCCCGTGAAATCATTTGGTCTGGGCCTGCCAAGGCAAACGCAGTTCCAGTAAAACTGTCAGTTCCAACTCATAATGACCTTGTATAGGGTTTCCAAGGAGCGGCTGGTGAGTTTGAACCTCCGACCTTACAGTTCAAACCAACATAGTGGTCCAGCGCATTAACCCACAGCACCACACCAGGACTCCAAGCCATCACATTGGTTGGCTGGTTAATTACCGTGGAGTTGGTTCCGAACCATAGTGACCCTGTACAGGGTTCCCGAGACTGTAAATCTTTACAGGAGCAGAAAGCCTCATCTTTCTCCCGCAGAACAGCTGGTAGTTTCGAACTGCTGACCTTGTGGATAGCAGCCAGATTCATAACCACTACACTACCAGAGCTCCTTGAGCCATCTCATTAGGGGTGAGTTTGACCAAATATGCCAGGCTAATTTTTAAATTGATAATTCTGTATGGCCCACAAATGATGTTATAAATTCTGGCAGAATAAAGTCCCCACCCCTGCCATAGGATGGTCATTCAAGTTCCAAAGGGCAGCATTTAGGTAGGAACATAATCCAGAATTTGTTAGCAAATGTTAAAGGATGACCTGCCACAGCCGAAATCCCAGATTCCAGAAACATGTTTACCAATTTACCACTAGGGGGCAATCTAGTCCAGCCCAAGTCACAGGCTAGCCTCACATGCCTTCTTGTTCCAGAACACCCAGCTAGACACACAATAACGTCCTTTTTACGTAACCCCCTAAAGAAACCAAGGCTTGGTTTGTCCCCTTATTTTTATTTGCATATTGCTACGCTAATTGAGACAGAAATACCTTTGTGTGTGTGAAAATACACACCTCAAACCATTCTCCCATGTAAGAATTTCTACACATACCATTCAGTGATGGTCCATTCTTTACAAGGTGTCCAGATTCTTATTTCTGCTCTAGTTGTGCCAACCCCGTTTAGACTCACTGGCCCCCAAACTGCCCAGCTATGCTATAGAGTTACCACTCTACCACTGGAGTTTTCCCACTTTTTTTTTTTAACGTTTTATTGTGAATTATATGATAGTTTACATGAGAGAACTTTAGTTTTACATTCATTCTATTGTATATCATTTCATTGCCATGGTTCCAATCCCCTCCATGCATCATCAACCAACTAAAGGGTATACCCTACAAACCTGCCCCCGATACTACCTCCCCCCACCACTCACCCCCAATCTTCAGCACACAGTCCCTCTCCCTCTCTGGATCCAAAGTCCCCAGCCACTTCATCGCTCCACGTCATCACCTCTGCCTCCATCTCAGGCATTGCTGCTTCTCTGGGTAGGGTTCCACTCTTGGCTCTTCTCCGTTGATGGTCCTAGAGACCTCTGCTCCTAGACTGGAGAGTTAATCACGCCCTTCCTTGCTATAAAACGTCTACCCTTACATTTCCAAACCTCACAATCAGTCCTGATAACAATTATTCACTATTGTATCACAAGTGACCCATCTGCATTTCATTTCATCAGCTCTGCCTAGACAGATTGGATAGTATTCATTGGAGATTCTGCCTTCCTCCATGACCCCTGCCTCTAAGTTCCCTCTTGAAAGCTTGTAAACCAGTCACTTCTTGCCTTTGTAGTCCCCGCTCCCCACCGCCCCATTTTGGGTAGCCAATGTCCAAGTTGCCCATCCCTGTCTACTCTGTGTGGAGGGGGTGGGGATGATTCTTGCTGTAAGGATTTGTTCCCTCTTTTGAGCTACTGCATCCATAGGTGTAGGTCAAGTTCATCAAATTGTATCAGATTACTCTTTTTTTCCTCTTCTTTCTTCTTCTGGTTGAGCTCTGATCATCCAGTCATTGAAGCCGGGTCAAGTGGGTATTATCTGCAAGTGTGGGTGTTCTTGTATACATGCCCTCTCTTCTTATCAGCTGAATGCTTCATTCTCCACTCTAGTCCTCTGTGGCTATGTCACTGACTCTGAGCCCAAGATTCCCCAGGTCTTCCCACACTGTGTTCCCACTAACTTTTGAAGCCTCCTCATATCATGGTGTGGCCAGCAGGATAAGGACTGGACTGCGAGCCACAGGTTGGTGGTTCAAACCCACTGGCTGCTCCTTGGAAACCCTGTGTAGGGTTACTATGAGTCGAAATCGACTCAATAGCACTTAACAACAAGGATAAGCACTGGACTGCTAACCAAGTCAACAAGTTCAAAGATACCAGTTGCTCTGTGGGAGAGAGATGAGGCGTTCCGCTCCTGTAAAGATTTACAGCTTCTGAAACCCTGTCCAGGGTCCTGATGATTCTGAGTCTTCTCGGGTTTCTGTGGGGCAGTCTATTAAGTTTGCAGTTGTTATTGGTAAGTGCCGTGGCTTCAATTCCAACTTGTTGCAACCCTGTATAGGGCTTTTGAGGAGCGGCGGGTGGGTCTGAACTGTCAACCTTGTGGTTCGCAATTCAGGGCTGACCCTACAACACCACACCAGGAGTCCAAGTGTGCAATAATATGATGGAAAATGTTTAAACCTAGCAGCCACTCTGTGGGAGAAAGATTTACAGCCTTGGAAACTCGGTCCTACAGAGATGCATTAAATTAAGACAATTCTGACTTGGAGGCTGTGGGGTTTGGTTTTGGTGACGCAGTGGTGACGTGCTCAGCTGCTAACAGAAAGGTCGTGGTTTGAATGCACCGGCAGCTCTGCAAGAGAAAGATGAGCCTGGCTATTTCTGTGAAGATTAACAACCTCAGAAACCCTATGGGGCAGGCAGTTCTACTCTGTCCCATGGAGACTCACAGGCAGTGGCTTTGGTTTAGGATTTTTGGATGTAGCTAGGAGGTGCCTGGAGTCCTGATGTGGCGCTGTAGGATAAGCACTGAACCGTAAGTCCAGCCATTGAAACCCACCAGTCACTCTTTGGAAACCCTATGCAGGGTCACTGTGAGTGGACACCACACACTACCATCACCACCACCGCTGCTCCATTGAGGGAGTGAAGCTCTCAGTGCCCCCAGTGACCACACTGTGAACCTGCATTCCCCCAAGTGTTTCCTGGGACCCTACTATACATGTGAGGCACAAGAGGTGAAGAAGATCAGCAAGGGTCCTCCCTTAGCCGCACCTACATTTGAGTTTAGAAGCGCTGGACCACAAGGTCGGTTTGATCTGCAAAGTCAGTGGTTCAAACTCACCAGCCGCTATTGGAAACCTCATACAGGGTTACTGTGGGTTGGAGTCGTCGACTTGATGGCACATAACAACAACAAACACCTGGGTCTGTCATCTCAGGAAGACACACATCGCTGAGACTGTCATCTCAGGAAGACCTCACAGAGTCGCACCCATGGGTCCCTGTTCTATTTTCCAGGCATCTGCGGTGGGCCCTTGGAAAATCATTACCAACTAAAGCAGTTCCACTTCCACTGGGGAGCGATGGACGCGTGGGGCTCCGAGCACACGGTGGACAGCCACACGTATCCAGCTGAGGTTCGTAGATGCTCTCATACCAGCAAATGCTTAGGGGCATCCTCCGTGCCAGGTTCTACTTTTGGGTGAACAGCTGGGCTTGGGGCTAAAGACCACAACTCCAGACCTATGATGGGAACCAAGGAGGGGCGCAGAATAGAGACACAGGTGAAGTTCAAGGTAGAATCACCAAGTACAAACACAGGCAACATTTGGTACATACGTATGTTAAGAATCATTCGTTGTTCATCGAACATTCAAATGAATGGTCTGTATTGTATCTGGAGACCCTTGTGCAGGGGTTGCAAGGGGCTGGAGTGATCACACTCCAGCCCGATTTGTCTCACAAAGTAACAGCAACTCCCTCCTTTCTCCCCACCAGGAGCACAGGGTCATCACTTTCTGTGGTTTTGTAAGGGTTCCCTGTACGAGGCCCCAGAGACTGAGTTCATTAAAATAATGAGATCAACACACACGTGTTGTTGTTGTTAAGTGCCATTGAGTTGGTTCCAACTCATAACGACCCTCAGTAGAGTTTCTGAGGAGCAGCTGGTGGGTTTGAACCACCAACCTTGAGGTTAGCTGTCCAGTGTTTATCTTACAATGCCACACCATGACTCCTAACACATATGAGGGAGCTTCAAAAAATTCGTGGAAAAATAGAATTCAAAGGCAATGGAACTCGTCCAGCATCTTTTTGATGCCCCCTTGGGTGTCCTGTGTGTGCCATCCAGAAAAGGAAGGGACTGTTGGTTTTCTTTTTGGCTATGTATGTGGTGGTACATTTAAATTCTCCTGCTCTGTTCCAGCTTCACTTGGTCCACTGGAATTCTGCAAAATACTCAAGCTACAAGGAAGCGGTCCTGGGGGAGAAGGGGCTGGCTGTGATTGCCGTGTTTTTGACGGTAATCTCGTGTTTTTGACTGTAATCTCGTGTTTTTGATGGTCATCTCTTGCTGGAGCACAGGGCTCCCTGTGAAGCAGGAGGGGGTGATCAATCAGAGTCACTTCCTAAGTGATCTATGTACAATGCACTGCGGTTTTCAAATCCACGCTTCCACGTGTCTGTACAGCTGGGCACCAGGCAGCCGGAGCTACAGAAGTTGGTGGAAATCTTGCCAGAAATAAAGTATAAGGTAAGTTACGCATTTTTAAACCAACGCAATTTGAAAAGCAAGGTCATTTGCATTATTGAGTTATTTATAAAAGTGTGTTGGGGGAGGCAGTTTCGTAGAAAGAACACAATAGTGGGAATCTAATTCCGGTTCTGGAATGGAACCCTCCCCAAACCAAAGCCAGGTGCCATCTAGTCAACTCTGACCCCGTGTGTGGCCGAGAACTGTGCTCCAACCATCTTCAATCACTGAGTTCGCAGATCGCCAGGGCGCTCTTGTTTGGTGCCGTTGGGTAGATTTGAACCTTCAATCTGTTGGTTAACAGCTGATAAATCAAGCTGACAGGGTCTAATTCTCATTGTCTTTAGCTGGAAATTTGTCAACACTCCAATTCTTGGGTCCTGGTTCCTCTCCACAATTCCGGCCGTGTCTTGAAGATGTTTGACTTTTCTGCTTGCCACTGATCACTTTCTTTCGATTATTAATTGCTTTCTTTCCATTGAATGATTAGCTTTCAGGATCCATTAGCCTCATCTTAGGCAGTGACATGCGCTAGGAGTACGTCTATCCTGTCTCTCCGTCTTTCCAGCTGTCCTACTCTGCTGTGACACTGGAAGCTATGCCATCAGCAGCCACCCATGGTGGGCAGATTTCAGCAGAGCTTCCAGACTAAGGGAGACTAGGAAGAAAGTCCTGGTGATCTGTTTGCAGAAATCAGTCAATGAAAACCCAGCGGCTGACCCCCAGCACACTGTGAGCACAGTACCGGGAGGTGAGCCACTAGTGCGGAAGGTACTCAGACACAGCCGTGGGCTGGAGCAGGTCAGTGAGCATCGAGTCTAGTGAGGTCTGGCGGCTTTTCATTCTGTGGTGACGGTGTCACTGGGAGTCAGAGTCGACTCAAGGAAATCTGCCGCTGCTGCTGCTGAAAGCCATCAAGTCGGTGCCGACTCACAGCGACCCTGTATGGGGTTTCCGAGGCTGTAAATCCCTACGGGAGCAGAAAACCTCACCTTTCTCCCACAGAGCAGCTAGTGGATTTGAACCGCTGACCTTGAGGTTAGCAGTCCAATGTGTAACCCACCACTTATGCTACTAGCAAGTTATATTTTGTTTTTAAACCCACTGAAATAAATACCTACCTATTAACGTCCGAGTCTGGTAAAGCACCGGACCCAAGGTTGGCTTGAACTACGAGGTCAGTGGTTCAAACTCACCAGGTGCTCCTTGGAAACCCTACAAAGGGTCACTATGAGTCGGAATTTACTCAAAGGTACTTAACAACAACATTAATGTCGAAATAAATACCTAATTGTGACTACTGAGGAGTCCTGGTATGGTTCTATACAATCAATACTAGACTGCTGACTTCAAGGTCAGTGGTTCAAAGCAATCACCCGGTTCTCGCAAACCTTATACATGGTCGCTGTGAGTTGAAAGTGACTAGATGACATTTAACAACATTAATGTTGACGGCTGTCTTCCTCCATGCACCCCACACACTCCTTGGGAGTAGAGAGGTTCTTGGGGCACCTTGTTGGAGACCACAGAGGCTAGGGGAGGAGGGAAGGTCTCTAGGTACACCTCCAGCCAAAGACAGCAGTGAGCACACAGCTTCCCCCCCAGCATCAACTGCACAGGGACTTGGGCAGAGACACGGAAATTCCACAGAAATGTGGTTTATTTATTCAGCACCAAATAAGCAGCGAAACATACATGGCACCCAAGGGCAGGCGTCGTTGTGGTCTTCAGATGTCGGCGGATGAGCCTACGGCCTGGGGACAATGGTGTGAGCGGCTGGGAGGGGGCACGGGTGGACACAGGCCAGCCCTTCCTCACAGGCCGCCCTGGATGTGTGCCGGGACAACCTTGATGTTGACCAGGTTACCTGCTGCTCCACCTCACCCCTCGGGGACTCCTCAAGGCCAAGTTGCTGCAACCCCCACCCGATCCTCTTCCTCGCTGGCCTGCAGCCAGAGTCAACCTGGAGTGTTTTTCCAGGCAGCGACAACAGCCTGCGGGGTCTCATCTCCACCTCCGCGTGGGGTTTCACTTCCTCCCCTGGAAGTCTGGGTGCATCCGTTCTCAGGGTGTTCTGAAGCAAACCACCAACGGTGGGGTTTCTAAGGAAGCACTTGGTAGAGACCCCTTGGTTTCTTCACCTGAGACAAGAGTCAGACTCTTACAAGATCAGAGGGCCTGAGAGATGAGCCCTCCTCAGGGAGAAGTTTGAGCCTCCTGGATCCCGAAGAGAAAGGGGATTTGCAAATCCTTCTAGTCCAGCAGTTCCCAATGGGATCCGAGGCTTCCAGACATTTCTGCAGCCTGGCCTTAGGGGAGCCTGTGGGCCCCCCATCAAGCCTGCATGGCCATGGGCCCATTTCCCACCCCCAGGGTTGCGCCTTCTCTCCTTGTTTTTATCCTCTCGCTGGGTTTGTGTCTATGTGTTGTTGTTGTTGTTGTTAAGTGCCATCGAGTCAGTTCCTACCCCATAGTGAGCCTGAATAGGGTTTCTGAGGAGCAGCCGGTGAGCTTGAACCACCAACCTTGCAGTTCAATCGGCTTTGCAGTCTGGCACATTAACCCACAGCGTCACCCCAGGACTCCCATAGACTTGTGTCTATGAGGGGGCTTGAAAAGTTCATGGTGTTAAAAGGTATTTTTCCACCACCTTTGAAGCCCCCTTGCCCCTGCCACTTTCTGATGTGGGATGGTCCTACACAGGGAAGTGAAACCCCGACAATGCCACCATCACAGATGAGATGGCGGAGCATGGCGCATGCCCAGGCAGCTGGTCACAGATGGGGCTGACCTAACTTTGCCCATGTACAGGGATAGTGTTCAAACCAGCCAAGCTGGCCAGATGCACAGAATGGGGACCCCGACTGAATTTGGGGGCACACGAGGCAGTGTTCCCTGTGACTCCGGGGCTGATGCATCATACGGAGGGACGTTGCTGGAAATTCGTCGATCCCAACAGGAAGGCGTGTGGGGAGCCTCCTCCCCACGAGAAGGAAAAGCGTGGCAGGCGAGTGGAGGGGTCCCTCTGTCAGCCTCCACGGTGTGTGTGAATTACCACAGCCACTCCCGAGGGGGCGCTGTAGGTAGGTGCAGCACTGAACTGCTAACCAAAAGGTCGGCGGTTCAAAGCTACCAGCTGCTCCTCGGAAGCCCCATACAGCGTCGCTATGAGTTGTAACCGACTTGACGGCACTTAACAAGAGGGTTCCTCTGCAGAGCATCCTCCATCCCGAAGAGTCATGTTTCAGTGCTAGGCTCTGTCTCCACTTCCCGGCCTTTCCCCAGGGCTAAACTGGTGCCGTTCAGACACAGCCACGCTGTTACACGGAGAAACGTCCTGGAACTTGATCGGCCCCAATCAAGGTTACTGTCACACAGGGTTAGGCGCTATGAGCATCCAGACTCTGGAGATCACCGATCTGCTCGGATCCCCCTTCAACGTGTGTCCTTTAGTATCTGACTTCGTCCCCTCAGCTTCGTGTTTCCAAGGCTCGTCCGTGTTGTAGAATGGATCAGGATTTCCTTTCTCTTTGTAGCTGTTGTTAGGTACCGATGACTCAGTTCCGACTCATAGCAACCCTGTGCTTACCAGAATGAAACCCTTCCCGGTCCTGTACCATCCTCACAGATGTCGTGTTTGAGCCCAATGGTGCTGCCACGGCATCAGGCCATCTGAGTCTTCCTCTTTCTCACTGACCCTCCACTCTTCCAAGCACGATGTCCTTCTCCATGGACTGGTCACTCCTGATGCCATGTCTGAAGTCCATGAGACCAAGTGTCCCCCTCCTCACTTCTAAGGAGCACTCTGGCTACTCTTCTTCCAAGATGGACGGCTTTGTTTTCCTGACCGTCCATTCCGTAGTCCTCACCGACACCACAATCTCCCTGGACGGGTGCCCATTCCTTTGCTGACAGATACCTGGGTTGCTTCCAGCTTTGCGCTCTTGCTGAAGGGTGCTGTGGTGGGCATTGGTGAGCAAGTCTCTGGCTCCCTGAGTTGCAGCTTTTCGGGTCTATACCTGGGGGTAGGATTGCTGGGTTGTGTAGTAATCGTTGGTTTAACTTTTTAAGGAACTGCTACGGTTTTCCGCAGCAGCTACACCAAAAATGATTGAAAGGGAGAACACAAACCTCTGTGGGCCACTCCATGCTCCATGTGCCGGGCAGTGCTTCGAGAAGTGCTGGCCACGGCCTGACCATGACCCATCCCTGGAACACAGTTCCTTCTGAGGTCTGATGTGTCCCATCCTTCTGGTCCCTTAGGATGCATGGAAGGCCTGGGGTCCCTTTGATCCTGCTGGTCTGCTGCCCTCCTGCCCAGACTACTGGACCTACCCAGGCTCCCTCACCACTCCTCCGCTAACCGAGTCTGTCACGTGGATCATCCAGAAGCAGCCCATTGAGGTGGCTCCAGAACAGGTGAGAGGCTCAAGGAAGAAGCCCACCAAGGTGCTGCGAGTGAACGTGGAATGCTTCCCTCTCGGGTCCACTCTGGCCCTTCTCCCAAGGAGGAGGACACTCCTGGGAAGAGGAGCTTGTGGATATGAAACTGGGTTCCCATTTTATAACTCGTTTCTGAAACTGACATTTTAGTAGAGACAGAGGAGAAAGACAGACAGAGGGCAACACAGAGATAAAGAGACTCGACAAACACCGAAACACACAAACACACAGAGCTAGAGACAGACAAACAGAGACACACAGAGATAAGAGACAGACAGACAGAGCTAGACAGAGACACACAGACACACAGAGCTAGAGACAGACAGACAGAGACACAGAGAGCTAGAGACAGACAGAGACATAGAGATAGTGGTAGAGACAGATATAATGAGAGAAATCACAGAAAGAGCTAGAGACACACAGAGAGTTAGAAAGACACACAGAGACATAAAGACAGAAGGAGACCTGATGCAGTGACTTGACGGACATGTGTCCTTTAGTACGATCCCATCGTTAGTGACTTCCGATTGAGTCCAGTACACTGAACAGGGAGCTACACTCAGACTTCAGTCCACGCCCGGGCAAAGTAGCTCTGAAGGAGCAGCCTCAACGGGACTGGGGCCCGGAGCCGTAGTGGGGACCTGCCCATGACTGCTGGAAGCTGGTACAGAAGCAGAACTGTGGAGGAGCAGGTAACAGGTTACCTCCACGTTTATTTGTTGTTGAGAATCTATACAGCTTCTCCGTGTCCAACTCCAGTGACAAGAGGTGCATTCTTACGGCTGTGTGGTCCACATCTTTCGGTGACAGAGAGGGAGGGCTTTAGATTGCTCTGGCATGCTGGGTGAAATCACCAAGTCTAGATGGGACTCTCCCTAACACTGCCCTCACACTGCCGACAACACCTCCTCACACCCATCACTCATCACAAGCACAGGTGCATCCTGCTCATGGGCCTAGACTCAGGACGGCGGGTTATGAACAGCTGTGGCCGGGGGGTGGGGGGTTGAATGCAGCTTCCTTAACCAGTGGCTGCCGGGGCTGGCTTCTCAGGGCAGATGGCAGAAAAGCAAAAGGCAAGCCAACCGCTGGCCCATCCAATGCCCACTCATTGCCCGCTGGCCACAGCAAACTTCAACAGTCCGTCTAACTGTGGAGGGCAGCCCGCCCCAAGGGAGTGGCAACAGGAATCCTATTCACTGACCACAATCTGATGTGTCACATGGACACACAGCAGCTGCCCAGGGTCATCAGCTGCCCAGGGTTTTATTTTCCCACCCCTTTTCTTATCTAAATATTCTAATTTCTCTCAATTGAGTAAATAGTACTTATATCCGAGGAGCTTCAAAAAGTTTGTGGAAAAATTACATTATCTATTACATTTTTCCACAAACTTTTTGAAGTCCCCTCATATTTGAAAACAAAAAAATCATAGTATCTTTTACTCTGAGTATCTTTAGAATCTAGGGGAATTCTGTCTGTCTAGGGCCTGATGTGGCACTATGGATTAATGAGCCAGACTACAAAGTCGGTTGAACTGCAAGGTTAGCGGTTCAAGCCCACCAGCTTCTCCTCAGAAACCCTATACAGGGTCGCTATGGGTTGGAACCGACTCGACGGCACTTAACAACAACAACAACAACAGGGCCATTTAGAACTGAGGGATGTAAAGCAAACTCTAATAGATTTGAAGAAAGAAATAGATGAATCTACAATAATAGTGGGTGACTTTAATACACAGCTTTCAAAAATGGATAGAACAACCAGAAAGAAACTTGACAAAGACACAGAAGAACTAAACAACACAATCAACCAACTGGACCTCATAGATGTATACAGAGCACTCAACCCAACAACAGCACAGTACACATTCTTTTCCAGTGCCCATGGAACATTCTCCAGAATAGATCATGTTTTAGGCCACAAAACAAATCTACATAAATTAGAACTGAGGGATGACACTCTCCCAACCCTTACCCAGGGCAGACATCTCAAATCAATCACAGCACCATTCATCACCCCTCATTCTGATGCACTGTTTCCAAGGGCTCTGCATGGGCTCAGAGGTTCTTCCAAGGAGTGGCTGGTGGGTTTGAACCACCAATCTTATGGTTAGCAGTCCAGTGCTTACCCTACAGCACTACACTAGGACTCCCTGTTGTATGTATTAGTTATTGCTGTGCATCAAAAATCTAATCCTTTGAAGCCACAATAATCATTTGTCAACCTCTCAGTTTCTGTGGGTCTTGAACAGGTGACAGTTCTGACTTGGACCTCTCACAAAGACAGGGCTCCAGTTATCTGACAGCTGGTGTGGCACACTCACACAGCTGGCTGTTGGCCTCGGGCCTCAGACTCATTCCACACAAACCTCCCATGGGCTTCTTGAGTGGCCTCGCAAATTGGCAGTTGGCTTCTCCCAGAGTGCTGGTTTGAAGACCCACATGGAAGCTGTGATGATCTGGTGCCACACAAGGGCATCCCAGGGCCATGTGGGAGCAGACTCCACAGGCACTGACGGAACCTGGAAGCTGGCTCACTCCACACTTACACTCAGCTAACCCTGGCGGCTCTCTTCCAGCTGTCAGCGTTTCGGACTCTACTGTTCTCCTCACGTGGTGAGGAAAAGAAGATCATGGTGAACAACTATCGCCCACTTCAGCCTCTGATGAACCGGAAGGTCCAAGCATCCTTTCAGGCCCCTGAGGATAGTGTGAACTCCTGAGAGCATGGCCTCCACGTCAGTGGATAGAACTGAGAAACGGCATAATTGGCAAGTAGAACTGACTTGTAAAGAGAGGAGAGACATTACTTCCCAAGTTTTGAGGTCTGATCATATGTTACTTCTGAGATTAAAAAGAGAGAAAGGGAGCATTGTTGTAGTCAATGAACTTTTCATTTCAACTAAAAGAACCCACTTCAAACAGGAAGTTTAGTTGTGAGACACGGAAATCTCATGAGGGCAGAGACAGGAGGTCCCATGGCCTCGGGCCAAGCCGGCCACCACTGAGCCAGGCCATCACGTCTGTCCTCTCCAGAGGGAGTTATGGGGTCCTTCTCAGCAGTTCCAGATTGCATGTCGGGTTCTTCTTCTTCTCTCCAGATGGTGCCTGTTTCCCCAAGCTTGTGGCCACCCTACAGTTCCCAGGTAATACAAAGGCGCTGACTAACACCCTTCTTTCAAACTCCAAATTCCTGGGAGATCGGGGAGTTCACAGGCCCCATTGGATCAGCTGGTTCAATTTACTGGCATGGGATAATGTTCTGCTCCCCTCCTACCTGCCCCATTAATAAAGCAGGAATCTCCCACCCTAATTAGTACAACATGATCCGACATATGACACCCAACACTGGACAGGTGAGAATGAGTAGCTACTCACCTGCTCAGATGGCTTGGTGAGGCCGCAGTACCACAATGGCCACACGGGGGCAGAGTGAACCAGCAGAGGCCCAAGGCAGGCTTTGTAGTAACCAGGATGAGATGGCCCTGACTCCCACAGATGTGACTGGCTTGTTCTAAGTTTCTTGGGCTGACAGAAGTTGAAGGTTGGGTGTACACAGCTGGCCCGGAGTATGAGCAGATCAGGGAACTGTCCCACTGAATGAGGCATATCTAACAAGAGAAAGGAAGCCTGGGTTAAGGCCTTCTAAGATATCTGAGGCCCCAAGATATCACTGCAGCACTTGACGTTTTCAATCTTACAAAGGAGACACAGGATCACTTGGCTGACAGAGCGGCTGGGGCCAGGGCCAGGGCTCGGGAGCTGCTCTCAGAGAAGGGACATTCTTTATCTCTGTCCTTAGAGGCAGGATGTGAAAGCAGAGCCTGACTCTCAAAGACTTGCATGATGAATAGTTACTGTTATAAGCAATACTTGATTATGTTCTGTTTGTCTTAAAACTAAAAGCAGGTATGACTCTGAGACCTCCAGCTTGGGGCCGTCCAAAGGGTTTGAAACACCCTAACATTTCCCTGGGAATGTCTGGAACCCACCGAGTTTGAATGTAGATAATGCTTGCCAGATGTGCTGCCTGAGGTTGTACCGAGAGCCTGCTGGTGGTCTCCTGGTGAGGCCACTGAAAGGCCAGCATCTAATCCTTAGCACTCACTTTCTTTCTGTCCCAATCTCAAATTGAAAATTTTCTCCCAAGCTATTGACGGATCATGGTAAACTGCAAACTGTAGGTTTTTCAGTTATACATTTATAACCTTAAAACATACAGAATCCTGGAAGCCAAATTATGCTAAGGATTACCAGCCTATCATTGTATTGCAAAGATCCCTGGGTGGTATGTATGACTCACACGCGACTGGAAATCGAAAGCCGGCAGTGCTGCAGAAGAAAAGCTTGGCAATCTACTCCTGTAACAATCACAGCCAGAGAAAACCCTGTGGGGGACCCATTATTCTGCGGCACATGGGGTGACCACGCACCAGAACCACCTCAGCGGTAAAGAGTCTGGATTTTGTTTTGTTTTTAATTACGTGAATGGTTCACTGTACTTTTTAGTGGAATTGCAGTATCTGGCTGGCTTCCGTTTCTTTCCTGGAAAAACTCCCACCTGTCCACAGCTCTCCTGGAACTGGCATGAGGTCAGGCCAAACGACGGGCTTGGGGTGGGAGCGTGTCTCAGGCCCAGGATATAGCTCACCCTCTTCTACCCTACAGGGGCTCTGAGGATGCGAGAGAGCCCCACACACACACACCTCTCCCAAGAAATGACCCCAGCGGAGCTTCTAAAAGGTGCGGAACACCTGAAATGAATGGGTCTCAGGGCGCCTGGCCAGAGAAGACGGGCTTTGTGTAGCTTCCCAGCGGGAGGGAGTCTTGGTTTGGTGAAGAGCCGCCTGCATGATCCTCCCTAGCCAGTTGCTGCGGAGCCGAGCCCCTGATAGCGCCCCCAGGTGGTCAGAGTAGAATTGCACTTTGTAGGTTCTAGAGCTGATTACCAGGTCTTTCTTCTAAGGTGTCTCGGGGCAGACTCAAAGCTCGGACCTTTTCATTAGCATTCAGAGTGTTACCCCTTGGTACCACCCAGGAACTCTTAACAGAATCTAGCCCAGGTACAATCTAGGCTGTGCCCCGGCACACAATCCCACCACTGTTGATAGGGGCCCTATCTGACAAAGTGGAACATCTCCTTGGAGTTCCTGTGAGTGTAGATCTATGGATGCAGACAGCCTTATGTTTCTCTCGAGAAGAGGCTGGTGGGTTTGAACCGCCAACCTTGTGGTTAGCAGCCCACCACTTAGCCCACAGCGTCACCAGGGCTGTCTGGAACACTGCAGGTGCTCAGTGACTATGTGGGTGTATAGGAGCAGACGGTGGGGATGAATTCACCCAGGAGACAGAGGTGGTCTTTAGCAGCCAGACAAGCCAAGCCCCAAGCCAGTTTAAGTTTCTTTTTTCCATGCTTGCTTGGGAAGAATCCTAATGATTACAGTGTTTCTATTTTCACTGCATAAAAATACTTCCTCTCCAGCAGCCAGCAAGAACTCAGCCATTTGCTACAACTGTCTCTTGTCAGATACACAATGTCAAACAGACTACAACCAGTCTGCCTCGGAGGGCAAGTGGCAAACCCAAAGTGTTTTGGTTAAGATGCAGAACACATACCCTGTCGTCCACAAATAACATCTAAAAATCAAAGCTGAGACCTTATATTATGAAGATAGTTGGTTTTGGCAGGAATTTACCTCCCCCACCCCAATCTCAGTGCTTCCTTTGGTTTCTACAATGTGCAGCGAATCGCTGGTCTGGCAGCCACCACGGAGAAAACAACCCTGAATTCCTGAAAAACTAGGTCCCCTCTCTCAGCAGCGCCCAGCTTCCAATAATGCTGTGTCCCAACATGAGAAAGACAAGCTTTCATGTCGGTGTGTAAAGGTGACAGGGGCAGGCTGGGAGCAGTGAGAGGGGTGCAGAAGGGGCAGCCTGGATCCCTGGGAGCAGTGAATGGGGTGTAGGAGGGGCAGCCTAGACCCCTGGGAGCAATGAATGGGGTGCAGGGGGGGCAAAATGGACGGTCTCCAAAAGGAAAATGTTTTTCAGTGTGATTTGGACCCCAAAGTATTTCTTGTCACTTGCAAACAATGAAAGATGTATTAGGTAAGTGTCAACAAACAGCCAATTTTGAGGCACCCCTGTGGGTCTGTAGGTTAAGCACTGGGCTGCAAGGTCGGTAGTTCAAACCCACCAGGCACTATGCAGGAGAAAGATGATGCTGTCTGCTCCAGTAGAGACGACCGCCTTGGAAACCCTAAGGAACGGGTCTCTGTCCATGAGGGTGACTGAGAGTGGAATCAACTCATTGGCGGTAGGTTTGTTTATTTGTTTTGGTGGCACAGTGGGAAGCCCTGGGCTACAACAGGAAGGGTTGGTGGTTTGAGCCCGCTGTTCGGTGAGTGGGAACACCTGGTGATCAGCTCTGGTGAAGATGGTGCCATGGAGTGGTGGACATGTGCTGTGGAGTCGCTTCCGACTCATAATAATCTTGTATAGAGTTTCCGAGGCTGTGCATCTTTACAGGGACAGAAAGCCTCATCTTTCTCATATGGTACAGCTGGTAGATTTGAACTGCTGACCTTGGAAACCCTACGGGACAGCACTGTTCTGTCACATGGGGTCACCACAAGTTAAGATTGACTCTGGCGAACCCAACCATAATACCCACTGTAGGATACTGGACTGCTAACCCAAAGAATTAGACTGTTAACAAGGTCAACAATTCAAACCCACCAGATGCTCCTCTGAAACCACCCTATACAGGGTCACTGTGAGTTGAAACCAACTCCATGGCACTTAACGACAACTCTCTAATATGAGAATCCTGTGTGGCACTGTGGAATGAGCATTGGACTGCTAACAATAAGGTCAGTGGTTCAAACCCACCAGTCACTATGTTCTAGAACCAACTTGACAGTACTTAACAACTCTAGCGTGATCTTGCTTGGTCTGTGATGAAGGTTACATTCTTGGAGTCCTGGTGGACATGGATTGGTAGTGACCGGGTCTGGTCTAGGAAGGAATGCCCTGGCTGCCATGGGAGCTCCCTCTGGACCACAGCATTTGGGGCCACTGCTCACATCTTTTTTCTTCTGGGCACTTCTCAAGTTTTCTACAATGAGCATGAACTCCTTTGTTTTTGTTTTATTGTGGTGAAATATATGGAAGGCGGATTCCAAAATTTCATGATATTAAAATGGAATTAAAAGACACTGCAATGTTTCCAAAACTTTTGAAGAGTCAGCAGCTTAGCCGTTTCTAAGTGTACATTTCAGGGGTCTGAACTGCAGTCACCATGTGGAGAAACTGTCCCTCTAAATGATACTCAACTTCCCTTCAGCAATAGTTCCTGTTTCCCTCTCCTCAAAACCCCTGTTGTTGTAGCTAAGTTCCGCCGAGTCACCTCTGACTCATAAAGACCCTGTATAGGGTTTCCAAGGGGCAGCTATTGAGATTGAACCACCAACCTTGTGCTTATCCTACAGCACCACACCAAGACTCCCCTCCAAGCCCCTAGTAACCACACAAAAACTCAGATCTCTAAGCATTTGCCTATTCTGGAGATGTCATGAATGTGGGTTCAGACACATTTGTCCTTTTGCACATGACTTATCTGACTCCGCAGCATATTTTTGAGGTTCACCCAAGTGGTAGCCTGGACCTCAGTTTTCTTTATGGCTGGGTGCTAAGGAACAAGGGAGACTGAAGAAGATTCGGT